GTGGAAGAGGAACAAGTCAGAAAAGGAGGTTGAGAATGTAGACACCACTCAAAGAATGTTACAGGTGTTGCTGAATTATACAAGTAGAAACCATTGAACTAGTGTCTATTTCACTGTGTATGTTCTCCACCAGGGCAACAACAACAACAACAATTGAGTTTAGATATTAGCCAGCTGGCAGTGTAGGCTTAATGGCTGATTTTACCTCTCTGGCTGGATTTACTTCTCTCACTAATGCAAAATAACATGGTCAAGTTAAATTACATGGGAGAAACACATGTTTTAATAAACTAAATTACAGATATTTGTTCCATGAAAGTAGGTTAATGATGACAGAGGCAATAGTTGGTTATTAAAATTAGAGATGAAACATGATGTTCGGAGGCAGAGAAGAAACTCCTAGATAGTCACAGGAGACATTGAAAGACAGGTGCATTATAGCTTCATAGTGAAGGGCTGCCTTGCATATAGAAAGCCTGTAGATTCAAAGGAAATTATTTTAAAATCAGGTTAAGAGAAAATAAATTACACACTTTAAGGTCCACTATTTAGAGACATAGAATCTCACTTTCAAACGAACCCATTGATATTTCAGCCTGATGCGAGGAGAACAATGACTTCGGTTTAAATGATTGCTCCTATACATATTTCCAAATGACCCCCAAAAGGAATGTCAATCTTAAATGTAACAGTGTCCATAGAGTTAATAGAACGCTAAATGTTTCTAGATCTGTAGCTTCTCTCTTGCTTATGACAGCTCTAAAGTAGGGTTCCCTCACTGTGTCTACCACAATGATAAGTTGGTGTGACTCTTACGGTAATGCCATTTTTTAATAAATCATTTTATTGGGCTCTTCAGCTCTTATAACAATCCATAACATCAGTTATATCAAGCACATTCGTACATATGTTGCCATCATCCTTTTCAAAACATTTTCTTTCTACTTGAGCCCTTGGTATCAACTCCTCTTTTCTCCCTCCCTCCCCCACCCTTGTGAACCCTTGATAAATTATAAATTATTATCTTCGTATCTTAACACCGTCCCTGTCTTCCTTTGCCCATATTTCTGTTGTTCATCCCCCCTTGGGGGGTGGGGTGTTATATGTCGATCATTGTGATCAGTTCCCCCTTTCCCCCCCTAACCTCCTAATATCACTACTTCCATTATTTTTCCTGGGGGGTTTATCTGTCTGGGATTCTGTGCGTTGAGACCTTTTTTCTGTACCAGTGTACCTGCACCAGTCTAGCCAGATTTGTAAGGTAGAACTGGAGTCATGACATTGGAGGGGTGAGGTGGGGAGGGAGAAAGCATTAAAGAACTAGAGGAATGTTGTGTTTAATCTATGCTATACTGCACCCTGGCTGACTCATCCCTTCCTTGTGACCCTCCTGTGAAGGGATGTCCAATTGTCTATAGATGGGCTTTGGGTCTCCACTCTGGCCCCCCTTATTCACATCAATATGATGTGGGTCTTCCGATGCCTAATACTTGATCCCGTCGACACCTGGTGATCACACAGGCTGGTGTGCTTCTTCCATGTGGGCCTTGTTGCTTCCCTGCTGGATGGCCGCTTGTTTACCTTCAAGCCTTTAAGACCAGCTGCTATATCTTATAATAGCCGGGCACCATCACATATGCTTGTGCACCCATTTTGTCTTCGGTGGCTGTGTCAGAAAGGTGGGCATCACAGAATAGCAACGCCTTCTTAATCTATTATTATATCACATCCCTTGTTATTATATCACATCCCAGTACTCACTCACAGGCCAGAATGTAAGTTAGTGTCGTCCATTCATTTATGCTGTTCTGTGTGATTGTTTCCTTTGAGACAGGGAGGTGGGGTGGAGGGGGCAGCACCCTCAGTATCAAGGATTCCACTTAAGGTATTTCAGCTTGGAAATTGCAGAAATACATTATTGCTCGCCACTCCATGAGAAAGACTTCCTGGTGGTGCAGTGGTTAAAACGCTTTGCTGCTAGTTAAGGGTGAGCGGCAGGAGAAAGAGGAGGCTGTTCGCAGTCTTGGAAACACCCTGGGATACTTCTCCCATGTCCTGTCAGGTCACTATGAGAGAATAAACTCCAATCCTCTGTGGGGGACAGCAAGGGGAAAGGACACACTACTGAGCATTAAATCACTGTATTAATGTATGTTAAACATGAAAAAGCAGTCTTTTATGTCTGAATAATGAATCTTGCTACAGCAATGTGAGGAAGCCGCGGAGACACTAATTCTTTGTGGAGAAACAGGTTCCGGAGCATGTACAGTCTTACACTTGACCGTGATTCCAGTAAGCCTATGTAAAGCTGCTAACACTAGACAAACAAGTAGGAGCATTGGTGAAGGGAAGTTGAATTAACAAAATATTGTAGACTGTGGAAAGTTTATTTTTCAAAAGAAGGAAACCTAAAAAATAAAAGGAAGAAGTAATACTTTCCCAGCATATTTTTGTCATCTGCCTATATAAATTTTATGGACATTTATTGAATGATTATTCATAGCCATAGTTAAACTGTGAGCTTAATATAACTTAAAAAACGTGTAGAGGAAACTTGTAATCCTCTTGCAGATAACAACATTAACTTATCTATCCAAGTTCAATTGACAACATGCATTCAGTGAGTGTAGTGAGTGTCTTCTGTATTCATTGACACACATAGAAACCTGTAAATATATAGGGAATTATTTAATTACTCTCTGGGGGAAATTATATGCAGCTTTGCAATATTAGCTGATCTATCATCATCTCTGTGACCCCAAATAGATTGGTCCACATGTATACTCAACGTGCACATTATTGAAAAAAGATATATAAGTCTTTGGTCTTACAAAAGTCTCTCATGCAATCTCCAGCCTCGTTTATGTCACCTCGGCCATATTTTTCAACTACTAATCCTTCTTTGTTTCCAACTTCTGTATGCCAGTCCTCAGTAACTCTCAGTGCATCTTGATTGGATGTCTGATCTATGTCACACTTCAAACCCATGGCAGCAGCAGTCAAGAAAGCAAATATAATGTATTACCTTGGGCACATATGCTATACAAGACTTCTTTAAAGTGCTCAAAAGATGTCAGATTAAAGGCTAAAGTGTGCCTGCTCCTAGGCTTGGCATTGTTAATCGCCACCCATGTGTGTAAAAGTTGGATGATGCAGAACAAGACCAAAGAAAATTTGATGTCTTGGAATTGTTCGGTGCTATCAATTCAGTTCTAACTCATAACCACCTTATTTCTAACATAACCAAACACTGCCGTGACCTGGGCCATGCTCACAGTGACTGTTTATGTTGGACCCTACCTTGTGGGTCTGTCTCATGGAGCGTCTCCTCTTGTGCCGACCCTCGACTTTACCAAGCATGGTGCTCCTGTACAGGAACTGGCCCTTGTGAGAACGTGTCTGAGGTACTCAACACAAAGAATCACCATCCTCACTTCTAAGGAGCATCTGGCTATACACCTTCCAAGACCGATTTGCTAGTGTTTTACAGGCACTCCACTGTACTTCCAATATTCTGCACCAGCACCATAATTCAAGTGCACCAAATTCAAAAGCATCATTCAAATTTCCTTCAGTCTTCCTTATTCGTTATCCAGTTTTCACATGCATATGAGGCATTTGAAAATACCTTAGCTTGGAGCAGCACACCTTAGTCCCCAAAGTGACAGCCTTGCTCTTCAATCTTTTTCGAATGATGGTGTCAGTGAAAAAAGATTAATTACGTTATGGACCGGCAGAAGAATGAGTAAATCTGCTGGGAGGAGTGCGATCAAAATGCTCTTGGCAAGCCAGGATGTCAAGCTTTCCTCCCACATACTTTGGCCATGTTCTAGGGAGAGACCCGTCCCCGGAAAAGGACATCATGCGTGGTCATGTAGAGGGCCCCAAAGGGAGAGTTCCTCAGTGTAGAGCATGGACACAGTGGCTGCAGCAGTGGAGTCAAGCATAGCAACCGTCGTGAAGGGGACAGGATGGGGGCAGTGCTTGGTTACATGTGGGGTCATGATATGTCCGAGCCTCGCTGACAGCACTGAACATTATCAGCATATCCGAAATGACTCACGTCCTATTTCTCGATTAAACTAAGTATGAAAAAGTGCTGCTGTGTTTTGGCCTCTCGACGTGGCTACAGCGTTTGCTACAATGGCATGTAAATGAACATGTATTTTTCAGTTCTCATTCTTGTCTCCCTAGGTTGATGAGGCCACAGGCATCGGGTTCATCTGTAAAAGAGCCAGCTGGCGCAGGCCAGATCTTTGGCCTAAACCACATCCCTACCCTGAACTGACCATCTTACGAGCGTCTGCTCTAATTCTCCAGGGTGACTTAGGTGAAAGATGGGTTAGGGAGAATCCACTGTGACTGGTCCACTAACCGTCAGCGCACGTCAGCCTGATGGAGCCGTCACAGGGCCTTCTTGGAGGGAGGAGTCACCTGAGCAGTGATTAACTCAGCAACATGACAAGAGGCTTATAGGAAGAGAAAAACCAGGCTGCCCACAGAGTTGGTCTTAATTATGGAATAAGACAAGCATGCAGTTTATATTTGTGAATAATGATTCTTCGCCGCCTTATTTTCGTTGCTCTACTGGACACTCTTAAATGTAGTTTACCTGGTGAGGCATAAACATGGTACCAGATTTTGAAGCTCCTGGTTTTCCCAATGTAGGTACTCCACGAAGAAACGACAATCCCTGGGACAGATTTGAAACTTTCCTACTTGAGTTCCCGAGCCGCTGGGTATAAATCAGTTCTAAAGATCACCATGACTCAGTCCGTCATACCCTTTAATTTAATGAAGGTTCATCTCATGGTCGCTGTAGTAGGACGACTCTTTCAGAAATGGTTTCCTGCCTCACCCAACCTGGCCTATACTTTTATATGGGATAAAACAGATGCGTACAATCAAAAGGTCTATGGCCTATCTGAAGCTGTTGGTAAGTGTTCTTTATAAAGCTCTTTCTTCTGCATCTTAAAAATTAGTTTGAAATCAGAACTCCCTTCAATGTCACTGTAACCCATGCAAAATCAATGGATAAGCAGATAGGCCATCCGCGAGGTTTAAATCTACCATGGGAAAAAGGAATGATGTCTTCCATAGGATAAAGAGAAGAAATTGTCAATATTTCCAGCTGCAATCATACCCTTGAGGGATTTTAGGCTTCTGAGATTTGGGGTTTGCAATAGCCCTGCTTTGTTGTTGCTTTTACTGCATTGTTGCCATTTTATCTTCAATTCCCTTGTCTTCCTCATCTTCCGTATGTTTTCTGTGTAGATTTAATGCTACTGCCATTTGATGTCATGAGGATATTTAACAGGATCTCAGACAACAGTTTCTTAAAATTCAGTTCAGCTGCTTTGACTGAAATTGCCAATCAACTCAGTGAAAAGACATCCTGTACACACTCAAACCAGCTGCTTCACTGAACAATTAGACAGTAAAATTTTTTAATTGGGCCTATTGAAATGTTATGTGTATATATGCATATACGTATGTGTGTTATGTGCGTATATATATATGCATATATATATATATATTTAGAGAGAGAGAGAATGGTAGCTTTAGGCTCAAACTTGGAGAACATTAAAAACTGAAAACATACCAAAACTGAACTCTCAAGGCCACATCAGAACATCCATAACTGAAAGATTGAATTGTTTATTATGGGTCTTTTAGGGTATACTTAAAATTACAATAGACATTTTATTCTGAAATTAATATATGGTTTAGACTTGAATCATTTCTGTTTAATCAGATACTTGCTGCCTCCCCCATCATTTTGTTCTGAATTTTGAAATGCCTGTTACATTTTGAAATCTGGAAAGTTTTCATTTGTGATTATTTGGTGTTTGTGTGCTGCTAGTTTTATTACCCAGGTCTATTCATGACTTAAGAATATATGGTCATCACCGAATTACCTTTTCTTATTGACTCTTCTTATTATAAATATCTAGCATAACTTGGTGCTCTTCCAAATGAAATAGCTCTAATTATTCAGATAGCAAACATTCTTTTTAGTTGTTATCATTTCATTGGGGTCTGATTTTTAGTTTTAATTACTTAGTCAACTGACTAATCTGGACCTCACTATGTACTGTGAATTTCTTTTTGAAAGAGCAGGCAGGGGAAATGTACTAATTTTCTATTAATTCAATAGAAAATAAATTTGGGGATATTTTCTTAGAAAAATGCCTTTTGTGTCATCAAGCCTGCTCACATAAAAAAAATAAGCTTTGCTCATAAATAAGTAAAAGGAAATATAGTCTTGGAACACATAATGATAAAACAGTGTTTTCAAAATAATAAATTGCATTTGCACCTATAGTTGAGAAGATGAGCTGTGATTTGTTTTGGTTCCAGTCTCGGTAGGATATGAATACGAATCTTGTTTGGACCTGACTCTGTGGGAGAAGAGGACCGCCGTTCTGCAGGGCTATGAACTAGATGCTTCCAACATGGGCGGCTGGACATTGGACAAGCATCATGTCTTGGATGTTCAGAACGGTACGATCATATTACTCACCTTCAAACTGATTACATTGAGGCAGCATTTTTACCCTATGTGTACAATGCAATTAGGATGGGTATGCAAACAAAGTATGTTTTTAAGGACTGTAAAAACTTAATGAGCTTTAAAATGTGCATATGTTCATCACAAAAATAGCTTTCCCCTTAGAATGCCAGCGATGGATTTTGTTGCTACAGAGCAAAGACTCTAAGTGGCTCTGCCTTCACCACAGCCCTGCTTAGGAGCCTCTGACTGCAGGGATTCAACAAGTGTGATTCCAAACCACCTCGTGTTAAAAAGTCAAGTAAAATGATCTTTAAATAAAGAAAGAAATAAAATAAAGCCAATTGATGCAATCTTTAAATAAATAAACACATTCTTTGGGAACCTTTACTAAAAATAGATGGGCAAATAATAATAATAATAATAAATGAATGGGAAAAATCCATTTGATTTTTGCCAAAATATTTCTAATAGATCTTAATCCTTAAGTAGCTAAGTCTGACAAGTATCTAGCTTTTTTTTTCTAATTTGGTTAGACTGCACTTTGAGAAACAAAAAGGTTCTCCCTGTCAAACTAGGTTACATGTACTGTTATTTGACTTGGTGACAATTACAGGGTTGGGGGGGGGGTTAAGTGAATAATCTGAGGGGGTGGGGAAGCAAGAATGACAGGTATGACTTGTAGCAGATCCAAGAATATGCCAAGTAAACATTTCACACAGCTTTGACCTCACTGCTCTGTGGAAACCAGGCTCCCTTCCTTCAGATACTACAGACCCAAAGAGAGAGATTTCTTCAAAAGATGACCAGCTCAGTCTCAAGAACATTATGATTGACAGTCAACAACATCTTGCCTCGGCTGTCTTTCTAGCATTTTGTCCACCTCCTGGCTGCGTCGGTCAAAGTGCTTTTCCAGAAAAGAAACTGCTTCAGATAAACTACTGCACCCCCTTTTCAGACAAACAACTTTGCTCTCGTCACTCTCTGGGCTCCCTTCCACAAGCAGCCAGAGAAGCCATTCCGGAGTCTGGGTGAAATAATCTAGCCTTTGACTCCCCAAATTCTTTGGATGGTTCAGACTGGTACATCGAATGGGTAACATAATTAAATGTGTAAGGTGATGGGCTTCTCCACGCTCATCAACCATTATGTCAGAAACCCACAAGGGCAGTGCTACCCTGCCCTACAGGGTCACTATGAGCCGGTGTTGACTCAATGGCAGTAAGTTTGGCTTTGTTTGTATTTTTTAATTTTCATGGTTGAGTTTTTTTGTTTTTGTTTTGTTGGTGGGGGTTGGACAGGGTGCATTTAACACTGTCACAGCCCACTTTACCCCAAGTACAGCCATTTGGTTTTAAGCTGAAAACCCAACCCTCCCCCAGCACCAACTGTGCCAAGCAATATGCCACAGTAGCCGCAGCCTTCCTCTGTGAACCTCACCTGCCCCATGTGGCCCTGCCAGGGAAGAAAGTTGAACTAAACAGCCCTTACTGCAGCTCCCTTGAACTGCATCACCGCTGGCTGTTCCACCTCCGTTTCTTTGTCTCGCCGCTTTTTCCACCGTCATCAGCGCCTGCTCCAACTCCCCTTTAACTGTATAGTATAAAACCCTTGTGGGCTGGCAGTTAGGGGCCAGGGTGACTTAAGCAAGAGCCGCCACTCAGAGCACAGCCTAATAAAGGAACTTTGTCCTCTTTGACAAACATGGCTGAAGTGACTCATTCATCTCACGGCAACAAAGCTACCAAATAGATGACAAAGCCAAGCAGAGCTTCCAAGCCAGTGCTTGAAATTGCCTGATCCAAAAGAGGAAATGCTAGCGAGCACGCAAGCACAAGAAAACAAACCTAGGAGAGCCCTTCCCACTGCCCCGTGTTCTAGCAGGACTTTTCCCATCGTGCTGTGGACATCCGGTTGCACTTCGTTTTGCACACCAGAAGGCTGGGAGCAGAGCCCAGTCACTAGTGCCACACGTAGCAGCGGAGAAGTGGAACATGGGGAAAGTGGGCCTCCGGAGCACCGAGGGTACTCCATATTAACATGTCTCGGGCTTCTCCTGGATCACCAGTGGGCATCCCAAGCCAGGCAGCTTCCAGCTGGTGCATGTGGGACACGGGGCTTCAGCGCAGTCTTTCAAAATGCAGACTCACGTGCCAGCCGGGCTAGTCACTGCGCTTGGTGAAATGATTTAAAATTAGATTTCACAGTTTGAACATATTGCTAAATTCCTCTAGAAGTTATTTTAAAACAAAAGGGAGGGAAAATCTCTCTAGATGAATTTTGATTATTATGAGGATATGGGGTACAATTTAACCAGTTAGCCATTTCTTTCTTGGATTTTACCCAAGAAGTTATGAGCCAGTAAAAAGCAAACAAACTCACTGCCATTGAGTTGATAATCACTCACAGTGACCCTGCAGGACAGGATAAAACTGCCCTATGAGTGTCTGAGACTCTGTTTGTGGGAATAGAAAGCCCCATCCTCCCCCAAGGAACAGCGGGTGGTTTCAAACTGCAGACCTTGTGAATCGCAGTCCATTGCTAACCCACTGCACCAGCAGGGCTCCGTATCTGAGCCAGTAGGAAGACGATAATGAATGAGCTCCAGGAGAGCCCACACCTCCAAAATGCAAGACTATTGTGATCCTCCTTGCACATGCTGTGTGCTTTTAATATGCAGGTGTGTCAAGAAACACAGCTATTCCTTGTGTATATATGTATACCACATGGGTGGGCCCTAGTGGAACAGTGGTTTCACATTCGGCTGCTAACTGTCAGGTCAGCACTTTGAAACCACCAGGTACTCCGTGGGAGAAAGACAAGGCTTTCTACTCCTGTAGAGAGTTACAGCCTGAGGAACCCAGAGGCAGTTCTTCCTGCCCTCTAGGGTCACTGTGAGTGAGTGGTTTGGAATCTGGATGTGGGTGGGTGGGTCAGAAGATCCTACCTACCTACCTACCTACCTATATACATACTAATCAGAATAATATATCATTAGATTTTTGTTAAAATCAAAACAGATTTAAACACTGGACTCTGTTCTTCATTTATACCCCAGCCGGTTTAGTGTCTAGGACTCTAAACACTTTTTCAAAGTAATCCACTCCAAAAAATGCTATAAACTATAAAGTAAACGTGGCTTTAAAAATGTTGGGTAGACTAAAACGTGGGGGGAACTGATTGTAATTTCAAATTTATCCAACAGCCCAGTTTGACAAGTAGTGGCTTTTCAAAGTGACACGTGTCTAATTGAATAAACAAAGTGATCAGTAATCATGACAAGGTAGATGAGCTATGGAAACACATTACAAAGGAAGAGAAGGCAAAAATGGAGACAGTGACAGGTGTTTGTGCAGACACTCTGAAACGGAAATAAATTTCTAATGTTCGTCTCTGTTCTGTCACAGTGGAGGAGAGCCATGAAGGACCAATCGTTCAAAGTAATGACTGAATAAATCAGATGCAGTAGAGAGCAGTAGGCTGACTTGTGGTCTTCTTTGGGTGAAAATTATGCAACTGGCTTTTATGGGAAATGATAGTTCCGTAATTGTCAAAATGATGTAATCACAGAAAGAAGGATCTTCAGTATCATTAATGTATTCTTTGAATATTCAAGGCAAAAGTGCATTTCATCGGTTATGATATACCCTTATTTAGATTATTTTTTGCCTTACATTTGAATAAGCCTGTTTTATCTTTCTTGATTTCTTTATGTAAATTTGCAATGATTATTACACCGCCCAAATAGCAAAGCATTAAAAACGTAATCATGGAATCCACCTCAAATGTGCTTGAACTATAAGAAGGCAACATAATCATTCTGATTTCTTCTTCACCTGAAGATTTTTCCCAAAGGGGTGGGCCCACTGGCTCAAGGCTCTTGTTTACATTTTCATGGCATGGTGGTCTCAGCAGTGTTATCTGTGAAGAACTGTAATCATTGGCTCCAAGAAACATAGAACATTCAATAAATAAAATATGTGCAGCTCTAAAGTCAGTCAGAATAGAATAGCAGGTGGGTTATGCAGATAATAACGCACTGCAAACTGTCATGAAATATGCATGGAACAATAAAAGCTGACCATCCAGTTTCCCTGAGGAAGGCCAGGAGGGAGCCACTGGTCTATGCGGAGTCGTGATGAAATGAACAAGATTGGAGCCTCAGCTCAAATCTCGCTTCCATCTGTAAAACAGTCAACATTCATTAGGTATCTTTTCTCAACTTTTCAGTAAAGCCCATAAAAGGAGCTGATTGGAATGCCATTTCAGCGTCTTAAAATCATTGGCACTTTTAAGCCTTATAACAGAATTCACTTTAAATAGTAAATTGCCCTTGCATGTCAGTTTTGTTAGGTTTTAAATGTTGGTAACTGTGTGTACAGGCATTCCTATCAGATGATAATATAAATGAGTAATATAATTGAGAAGAATGCTCCTTGATAAAATAGTTGAATTCAAATTGCCCTCCTCACTACAGGGAACAGCTTTGGAGGTGCGTGTGTATTCTCTGTCCTCTGTGAAGTACTGGTTAGCTTTGATAAAAGCAGTGGGAGACTGCAGGAAGATAGGGATGTTTCTGGGGTACGGTATTATTCGTTGGGTCAGTCTGTGTAGATTCTCACTATTGTGAAACCGATAGGCAAACATCATGCTCTAGGGGGCATGCTGTCGAACGTGGGTCTCAAACTTGGCTACCAGGAAGGTCTTGAAACCCCTCCATGCCGAGGTCCCACCCAGACGAATGAAAGCAGAATCTCTCAGAGTGGGAACCAGGCATCGGTATTTTCTTCATAGCTCCCCAAGTGGTTCCGATGTATAGCCGTGTTAGAGAATCACTCGCACACATTGTTAATTAGCCCCCCCCTTCTTCTTAGTTCTTTGTGCCCTTCATCATATACTTTTTTTCCCTCATATATACTTCATTAAGTTGATCACGAATAATATTTTAAAGACTTGATCATATCCTACATGGGGCAGTTGAAGAGATAACTTTCCACCAGAACAACCCCCACCCCAAAGCAATGGATTTCTTTATTTATTTTTAACAAAAAGCCCTTATCACCTTCCAAGTACTCTCCAAACTTTTAAGAGTTTCCGCAGCCCCAGTCTAAAAGGCGTGCACTGACCAATGAAATGGAATGGTAGATCAGTAGTGAACATGCTTATTGTTGCTCCTTGCATTTTTTATCATAAGAAAAACTTATTTTGCTTCTTCTAGGTATACTATACAAGGGAAATGGGGAAAATCAGTTTATCTCCCAGCAGCCTCCAGTGGTCAGTAGTATAATGGGCAATGGACGAAGGCGCAGTATCTCATGCCCAAGTTGCAACGGTCAGGCTGATGGTAATAAACTGTTGGCCCCCGTTGCATTAGCTTGCGGGATCGACGGCAGTCTCTATGTGGGAGATTTCAACTACGTGCGGCGAATATTCCCTTCTGGAAATGTCACAAGTGTTTTAGAACTGAGGTATGTATTTCCTGAACTTGGGCTTCTTAAAACTTTCAACAGAGATCGTTGCTTTGCCTTTGCGTGCCTTGAAACAGAGTGCATGTTACATGGTCGATTGGCTTTCCACTAGTTTTGTTATATTGAAATTCCAAATAGCTGCACATTTTAGCTAGGCTAAACATGCCTTTTTAAACAAATGTTGAATCTGATGTACTAATTTATTTACTTAAACATAAATAAATATCCCAGTGTTTAAATATCTCCCTAGTAGAAGGAAGGTTCTTGATTAAAGCCAAGGAAACACAAGACACACAAGGGGGCTTGCCAGGGTTTATGGGAAATGGAATTAACAACTAATGCCACTTCCACATACACTCTTTGAAGCTCCCTTGTACACATTGTCTTATAGATGTAACAGAGTTGAAATGAACCAACATATACAATGCCTCACTTTAATACACTGAGTTCTCTGTACTTATGGAGGATAGAAGTATGATTTTTAAAACCCTCTTGTTTTCTTTAGAATAATTATGTGATGTAGATTGTGGAGACATAAGACCATTTATTTCTTTGTGACCTTGGAGTATAATAATAAAAGAACAAACCCTATTGACTCTCTTGACCTAAAACACTAGATCTTCACGCAGCGTTACTCCCTTCGCCATCATGCCAGTAGTCATGATAACCAACTGCTCTCTTTGCTTTGCTGATTTCAGTGTGATTCCCAAAATCGTCCTATTTGCTAAGTGTCTTAAACAGAAACTTAAAAAATTATTTCTGGTTACTATTTCCACTTCAGTTGGAAATTTTCCTTACAAACAATCAAAATCTTTATATTCAACTCATTCTATATTAGAAGGCTTTTTCTAACTGTGTGTTCTTTTTTCTACCTTTTTATCTGCTTCCACCAAGAAATAAAGATTTTAGACATAGGTAAGCATCTTAAGTAAACATTGTTGTATGTGTTTCCATGTCCTGTGTACATCTCAATGTGACTCTCTGAAATGGTTGGCTCACCATCTTTCACCGGGAAAGAGGAAACCCCTATCACAGGACACCAAAGGAATGATATCTGCTTAGTTAAACGATTATGGTGAAATGTGTTGCACATTAAACTGCATTTGGGGCGTGTTTTCAAGTTGGGTCATAAAATAGAATTGCGTTACAAAATAAAATATAACAGGAAAAGATGCTCCAGTTTCTGACGCGCATAATCAAAGCCATATTTAATAGGACGAATCTGAAGTGAAGCGGAGTCTAGAGAGACCCATGTAGCTTGACTGATAGCCAGGGCAGATTTTCGTTTTGTTGGGGCCAAAAGCATATTTAATTTAGAGGACCCCGTTTAAAGAGAAGGGTAGAAAAAATATATATGACTTTGTAAAATTTAGAACAGAACAAAACATAAATCCACATGTGGACATCTTGCCTGGGGCCCTTACTTGAACTGGAAAGAACCCCTGCAAGCAGAGAGCCCAAAGTTTACGCTATCTTAGCCGCCTTGTAAACGTGTCTCTCCCCTTCATGTATCCACCCTAAGCTGGAAGAACTGCTACATTGTAGTTTTGAGAAGTAATATTTTCATTGGCAGTACTCAGGAGGAAAAGACTTTTTCTTTCAAAACTAAAAATGAATATTAAAAAAAATCATTAAACTCACTGCCGTTGCGTTGATGCCAACTCACGGTGACCCCATCAGACAGGTAGACCTGCCTCCACTGAGTTTCCAAGACTGCCGCTCTTCTTGGGAGTAGAAAGCCTTGTCTTTCTCCTGGAATGGCTGGAGGTTTCGAACTGCTAACCTTACAATTAGCTTCCCGGTATAGGACCACTATGCCACCAGGGCACCTAAGAATGAATATATTTGAAGCAAATCCGTAGGCGCCAATGCTTTTCATGCTTCACTGAGCTCAAGAAGGTCTAGCGATAGGCGGTGTGAGGACTTCCGACCTGAAAACCTTACTGCGGACCGCAGGAGAAGGGAAGGGCGGCGATGGGGTAAAAATACATTTCAAAGTCAACTGAAAAAGAAACAAGACAGATTGGACATGCTAGATCTAATTTGGCCATTAAAATATCTAATGAAATTACTACCAGATTAAACATTTTGAAACATTAGAAAAAATGATTTTTTTATATCCCTTATGAAGAAACCAGCAATATCCGTTTAAACATTGTGTAGCGATGGACAACTAGGAAAATAAAAACCAAAGTCCTGAAAGATGTGGAAGCTTGCTGCATATCAATGTGAGCAGGCTTGGTCCCCTGACCTTTTTCTGAAATCCCCATTGATCTTGTCTACGATCAGCTAAAAACTCAGGCACATGCTAAGATTAACACTAAATTTCCCCAGCCTCCAGAGCACACAACACTCTGTTATTAGAAAGCATAGCAGAATAGCAAAGAGTTTTTCAGGCCGGGCTTTCTTGGTCACTGTGGAGAAAAAGGAAAGACAAACAGGTGCACACCAAGTCGATGTGAAAGTGCTGGAGGCAGTGCAGGAAAAAGAAGGAGAAACAAACCTATCAAAGCAGCTCCCATTTAACAAGCTGGCCTCTTACATACCAGGCGTGGTGCCAGGTCTTTTCTGTGTTATCACAGAGCCACACACCAGCCCTTCAGGGTTACAGAGGGGGCAACAGAGGTCACACGTGTCTTTCCTGAAACCTGTTACTGAGAAATGGGGAGCAGAGATTGGAACCACCTGACAACTGTGTCCTTTCTGCCACTCCGCACGGCCTGCCCTGGTATGTGCCACCACAGCCAGGTTTGAAGTGATGCCCTGCACACCCAAAGACACATTTCACAATCACTTGACAGGTGCTATCCTCTCTTTCTCTGGGAGCAAAATGTTTGCCTTTAGAGCCCCATCATTCTGAACCTTCCTTTATAATATAAACTCCTGTGCGTCCTAACTCATGGGGTTTGTTGGCCATTCCTTCTCGCAGGATCCCCCTTCCACGCTCACCTCTGTGCTCTATCCTGGTCACTTTTGACCCTGCATTTCCATCAGGTGCTGTGCACGCAAAGTGCACTGTTGAGTTTTTATATTGCTGTTCCTCTGTATGGAATCCATCCATACTGGCTCCTTACCTTCCATATGCTTGGCTTTTTGACACACAGTAGTATCAGACAAGTTGTCTGCTGTTAAGACTCACTACCTACTAAGGGAAACAAGGTTATATATGTGACAAATAATATTTTACCATATAATCCTCGGACCCTTAATCAGACCTATGGCTTATCCTGGGAGTGGAACTCTGTGGAGGAAGAAATTACTTTGAGGTAGGATGCAGAAAAGTCTAAGGAAGAGTTCATTGGAAGTGTGGTTATTTGAGCTAGGCCTAAAAATGAAATCTCTTAAAATGTAAGACTAAAAAGAAGGCAAGGAAAACAAGACAAAAGCCAAAATCCCACCCCCTTGCCAGTTGAATCAATTCTAACTCACAGCAGTCCTATAGGACAGGGTGGAACTATACATCTCTATGTGGGGTAGACAGCTACATCAAACTCTGGTGGAACAGCTGGATAGATTTTGACCGCCATCCCTTGGGTTAGAACCCCAATGCTAAACCAGTGCTAACCCAATGCTGATCCAAGAGAGTTCAGACAGAAAAGGATTCCAGAAAAAGGAATATGTTACAGGGGTCTGTGAAAGAGATGAGCCTGGTCGGAAACGCACCAAGGTCCCCTGCGTGGAATTGAAACTTTCTGCTGGTAACAATGAGAGTAGAGAGAAAGGTAGGTTAGGGATAGATGGTGTTGGCCCTTGAACACTCTACAGAGATAACAGAGACGGTGGGGAACCATTACATAGGCTGTTGAACAAGATAGTGGCTGACTCAGAGTGGCCTTCTAGGAAAATTATTTTCATTATCAGTGTTCAAAGTGACCTGAACATCGTTTTTAAAAGCTCCACTGCAGCCAGGATACTTCAGCTAGGATGGCTTGCAGTGAAGGCGACAGCCAACGAAACACAGGGAGGCAAAGAGTGTCTGAAGATATGGAAGAAGAAGGTACACAGCAGAGGTTCTCAAGCTCCCTAATGCCGCCACCCTCAAATACAGTTCATGCTCTGGTGACCCTCCCCAACCACAAAATTATTTTTGTTGCTGCTTCACAACTGTAATTTTGCTGCTGTTCTGAATCGGGCGACCCCTGTGAAATGGTCGTTCGACCCCCAAGGGAGTCACGACCCACAGGTTGAGAACTGCTCCTCTAGAAGAAAGTCCACGATTTTGAGCCTTGATCTTGAATGAATGCTGCCTGTGATAAACATAGTGATTCAGTATGATGAATTAATCAACATTGACTTAACAAAACAACATCCTTTCATGTCTTCGAGCTTTTTCATTTAACTTTCAAAATAACTACAATTCTCTTCAGAAGCTTCATCTTTGCCATCCCAGCTAATCATCCTTTTACTGGACAGTGGGGTCCTGCTTGGTGGGCATTAAAATGACGAGAGGCTTAGGAATAAGTGAAAAGAAAAATAAATTGAAAAAGGTGACCAAATCTATAAAAACCAAACCCCATGGTCAGGCATGAATGTCTAAGTGAAATTAGAAAAGGGTAAGAAGTCTACATCTGGCTGCCTTCTGGAGTCTGTGCACCACAAGCGGCCTCGCTCATTTGGGCGAGTTGTTCCACTGGCTAAACACATAAGCACACTCATCTGCGCAACTGGGTGGAGAAACTGGCGGGAGAAAAGCCCAGCCCGCTTTCAGCAAGCGCAGGGCCTGGGAACCACTGACGTACGTGGTGGGTCTCCTGTGTCCTCTAGGGGCACTCTGAGCCGGGGTCCACCCAGCAGCACCGCATAACCACCGCTTGGACTACCGAGGAAGCAACTAGTGAAAACATTAAAACAAATATATAAACATATCGTCTTGCTATTTTAAGACGCAAACCGCCATCCTTCTACACGAAATTAATACATAATAGCCAGGGTTCTACATGAAAGCCCGCAGCTGTACTGCCATGAATGCTTTCAACACTGCCCGATCAATGTGGGAAAGATTCTACATCAACGGGGCTTCCAAAGTGCTCGGAAGTGTGTTCCTCCTACAGATGTGCTAAACAGACCCACCCCCCCCACCCCGTGTGTATGTTCTTAGCCTGTTAGCAGACCCCTTTGTAAAGGTCATGCGTTTTAGCTCATCCCTGTTCCAATTCTTCAAAATTCTGAAAGAAAGGAACATATATTAATGGACTATTACCAGCCACGGGCATTTAAACATATCAGATTTTTTTTTCAAATCAACTTCGTAAATTTTATATAACCAACCAAAGGATCAAAGAAAGTGTCAATCACAGGTCTGTGAATTTGAATCCAATTAGGTTCAGATACGCACACTTGATTCAGCACTCCTTGTTGACGTCTGTTTAAAAATTAAACAGGCAGAGAAATATAACATACCAAATCCCTGATCGCAAGAACTCAAGCGTTCTGGCTACTAGAAAATAGGCCGTTGCACTTGGCTTCAGACACCGGGCATTCCGGGGCACGGTTTCCAGCAACAAAGCACGGGTGCAAGCAAGGCCTACCCTGTGGCCTGTTCTTGGCTAAAGTTTCTCTAGACCAAGTAGAATGGTTGCAAAGGAAATGAGCGACTGGAGCCTGCAGTTAACCACGAGACCATGATGGTCTAAGCGATGGAGGAGGACTTGCGCATCGTGGTGCAGAGGGCTCCGGTGCGGGGCTCGGCTCGGTTTCTTTGGTGTGACTGTGATGAGTTAAGAGTTTAAGTGAGATTGTTAGGCCCATCTGCTGGCTTCTACTGCTCCATCGCGTCCGGGCCGTACAGGAGAGCTAGGCCTCCATCATCTCTGATGGGCTGCAGCCGGGATGGTTGCTGGGTCTGCTGGGCAGGTGATGGAGCAGGTGAAAGGCGGTAACTTCCTGTCCTTGCTGCTGATTTCCTGCACCTTCAC